TAATAACTGAAAATCTCACCAATTTCATGAAAACATTTCCATACACAACCAAGAAACTCAACAAACTCTAAACAGTATAAATGCAAAGAGGCCTTGTGGACCCAGCCACAAAATAGTTAAAATGTTGAAAGATGACAAAGAGCAGGATTTAGTTTATTTTCAGTATTACCACTTGGCAAAGGAGTATAGTGCCTTTCTTCCTCATGCCTTAGGTCTATTGGTTTAAAATTGCCTTGCACGATTAAAGCTGCAGCTTATTGTTACTGTTAACCTGGAATATTACCTAGAGTTGAAAATACTGCTGCCTGACATAATACAAACTGTAGAAGATAAGTGGGTTTTCCCAACCTGTTGATCAGTATAAAGAAGACACATTTACGTTGACAAAATAGGGGATAAAAGTAACCTCTGTTAAATCTCATTTGCTAGTCTTTTTAATTATATAAAAAAAAGTTGTCTCTTTTGTATTTGCACTGTTATTACTTTGAGTATTAATATAGAATGAGACAGCTTATTGTTGAATATGTATTATTTTAATGAAGGCATATTATTTAAAAAAGAAAATGACCAAGAGAAAATCATGAAAGAAACAAAAACTACTTCTTGCATACAAGAGAACCAAAATAAGATTAAAAACTGAATTCTAAACAGAAACACTGGATAATTTCTTAGAATTTCTGAATAATCTCATATCTAGCATAGTAAACAGAAATGTTAGGCCAGTTAAGAGACAGGAGAATATTGAAAAACATTTTGTGTGACTTATTAGTCATGATTCTCCAGTGAAACAGAATTGATAAGATGTAGCTAGATGGATGGATGGATACACGGATGCATGGGTGGATAGATGGATTTATTTCTTTATTTTAAGGAAGTGGCTCATGTGATTGTGGAGGCATGATTAATTCAAAATCTGACGTGGGAGGCTGATTGGCTGGAGACTCAGGAAAGCATTGCAGTTTAAGTTCAAAGACAGTGAGGTGGGAAACCAGGTGCAGCCAATGCTGCAGATGAATTCTGGAGGCAGCCTGCTGGAGAATTCTCTCTTGTTTGGGGAAGTCACCCTTGTATTCTACTTAATCCTTCAACTGTTTGAATAAGGTTGACCCGTAACATAAGGTACAATCTGCTTTATTCAAAGTCTACGAATTAAATCTCATCCAAAAGTATGTTCATGGAAACATCCAGAATAATGTTTGACCAATTATGTGGACACTAAATGAACCACCACAGGAACCAGTAAAGAGTTCCTTTACTGACAAAGAACAGTATTTCCTTTGATTCAAGAATGAAGGGAATAACATTGGTGGCCTAACAAATAGCACTGCCGATCATCTGAGTGCAGTCCAATATTGTGTAATGATCATTTACTTAATTTAAAAATATTCTTAGAATGTATTCATTTGATAACTTGTAAAGATGCTTTAAAGGAAATAAGTAAAATTCAACATACAGCTCTGTAAAACTTGAAGATTGCTGAATTGTTTTAGATTACATGATCTAAAGCATTCTCTCAATAAAATCAGTATTTCTGACCTTTGCTGTTTAGATTATTTTACAGTGTTAATTTTTTTCTTGAAATGCATTCCCTTTCTTAGAAGCAGTTGAAAGTGTGCCAATTAATTACTTTTCATTTTATTTCACAATGAGTTTTTTCTTTACTTTCATGACCTCATGCTAATTTTCTATTTCAATGAATTTAAGACAAAACAAAATGAATCTATTTTAAATAGGCAAAAAATAACCCAGCATTTCTTTTTCTATTAAGAGACACAAAATCCTTTTAAACTTTCATCTTTTGTTAATTTATATTCACATTTTAGCTCATAACAAAGGTTATCACTCCTCTATCATTTCAGTTTGTTTTCGGCTAACTTCTCCATCATTTCAGTGTTAGTACTAGTTTAAATAGTCCAAGGTTATGAAACGCTATGTCATCGCAGATTGACAACATCAAGTTAAGGTGGTTTGCAAGGCCAGATTGCTGCCATTAATGGCCTAATAGTGGTCAGTGTCTTCCCTTGGTCACCATTCACCAGAGTGTTCCTCCTTCCCGTAGTGTGGTTACCATGTACCAGAGTACCCTCTTCTGCTAACCTTCTTGCAGATCCTGAACTTTCATCAAATTCAGATACAGAGGCTTTATTTGTTCTTACCCACTGGCAAGTAACATAAAATAGCGTTAATTGTGGATATTCAGGAAAGATATGTAGCTTTCTGATAATCTAACTGCCTGTGCGTGATATTAAGTGCATCTACTTTCTAAGATCAACAGAATTTGCAACCAGAAATTTCCTTCACAGTGTCAATTTTTAAATCTAGAAACACGGAGTGCTGATAGATGATTTACGCAGATACATGGTGGTTACGCCTGTTCAGACATTCTTATGATACCAAATAATCTGGTCAGAACATGTATCTTCTGGGGTCAGAGGCTTTCTTCCCTGAAAAGACTTAGATGTCTATGTCACATTCTTGTTGCTTGGCTTCCTTTTTGGAGACTGTATTACTATTTTATGGCTGTCACAATAACATAACACAGATCTGAAGTGGCTTAAGTAACAGCAATGTATTATCTTACAGTAATGGATACTAGAAATCTGAGACAAACGTGTCAGTAGAGTTGGTTTCTTCTGAGGCTTGGTCGTCTCTCCTTGTCTGGTACCTAGCTCTCTTCTCCCTTGTCTTCACATGGTCTTCCCTCTGTCTGTTTCTGTGTCCCCATCTCCTCTTGCTATAAGATACAAGTCCTACTTGACTAGGGCCAACCAGAATGGTCTCATCTTAACTTAATAACCTCTTTAAGGGCCGTATCTCCAAATGTAATCACATTCTGAGGTATTTGAAGTTAGAACTTCAACACAGAAATTTAAAGGGAACACAACTCACTATAGAGACCCCCGAAGATTACCTCTGTTCTTTAAGAGTAGACCTCTTTAAACTTGGTTTGATAAAACATGGAAGAGATTTAGCAAGTAGAGCATAACTGAGGATGTGATCAGAGATATAAGAAGCAGGTGCAATTGGCAACAGTTTCCGCAGAGGAATGTAAGAGATTTGGCGTTTACTCTGTAATGAAAATGCCATGGCAGATTTTAGGACATAATGGTGAACACAGAGTAGACTTTGTATATATAGAAAATAAAAGTCACTAATAATTTGCCCAATTTGATAATTAGACAAGTGTATAAAATAACTTGATACAGTTGTATAAACATGTGTGCGTATAAAATATTTTCTGTAGGACAAATAATCTGTTATACAATCATGCTATTTATAAATGTCACTGCTATGAAGAAATACCCAAGACTGGGTAATTTATAAAGGAAAGAGGTTTGACTCAGAGTTCTGCATTGCTGGGGAGATCTCAGGAAACTTACAATCATGGTGGGAGGCAAACAAGAAGCAGCCATCTTTGTCACAGGTGGCAGGACGGAGTGAGTGGGAGCAGGGGCAATGCCAGAATCTCATAAAACCATCAGAACTTGTGAGACTCACTCACTATCAGGAGAACAGTGTGGGAAAATTTTCCCCCACGATCCAATTACCTCCTCCTGGTCCTGCCATGACATGTGGGGAATTATTAAAATTAAAGCTGAGATTTGGGTGGGGACACAGAGACAAACCATATCAATGAGTAATGTAAGTAGGAATGTGGACCACATGTATCATTTTAGTGGATGAATTCTCTTAATTCAATAATCTGTGGCAGTCATGCTGGCAAAACCTGTTGATATATTCTGGATTACACATGCCACTGGGTAATTCACTCTGTTTCAGTATTTTTTCAATTCCGCATTGCCCATACTATGTAAAGTATTGCTTTCTTTATATTACTCACTTTCTGTTTATTTGATTAAAACCTCTCAGTCCCAGGCTAGTATAATTAAAGAGTCATATGAAAACCTCACTATTTGAGGAATGCAAATAGTTGAGTCTACACTTGAGAAGGATATATGCCACTATCCACATTATACTGTACATTTAAAGCTTAGAATACTTATAGATGTCAAAAATGAATAATATATAGAAAACTGGACACAACAAAAATTTTTGTAGTTTTTGCTCAATCCAAGAACTGTCTTATTCTAAGAAGAACAAAACTAAAGTTAATTTTGTGGACAGCCTGTTAGTATACATACATGTATAGTCAAAGATGCACATCAATTAAATATATACATATACACACATACATGTGCATATGCACATATGTACATATGTTTATGTGTGTATATATACAAAACTATATGTGTGTTTTACAAGTGTCCTTATTTTGCAAATAATAGCATACAGTAAGTACACTGTAGCACATCTTTCTTTTCTTTGGTGATAGCAAAATAATGGAAGTTATTCCACATTAGTTCTAAAAGAGCTTCATAACTGATTCATTATCAAGCAGGCTAATTTAAACTAAGTTCTTATTAGTTTATTTACAGATATAGAGTATGTCATTGCTTCTCATAGTGCACAATAAGATATTTAGTCAATTTTCTATTGAACATTTGTTTATGATATTTTTCTATGAAAAATAATGTTGCAATAATAAGGGTAAAATACATAATTATTTAAAAATATGAATATACTTTTAGGATATAAAATTGTTCAATCATAGGATATGTATATATTAATTTGGATATTGTAGCAAAATTACCCTTTGTACAGAAAATACCAGTACACATATTCAATCTATTGCTGTATCTCTTATATCAATCCTTGAGTATCTAGATAATGTAAAATATTTTATCTTTGTCAATCTGAGAGGTAAAAAACGGTAAATTGTTTTATTTTAAATTGAAATTTATCTTATAAAAGAGCTTGAACATCTTTTACATAATATAAGTATTGTTATTTTATTTCCATGATTTAATTTTTATGACGCTTTGCTCATTTTTGACCATGTTGCTATTTTCTTATTGACTTACAGAAGTTTTTATATAGTAAAAAAATTATTTTATGTTTTTAGTAAATTTGATTTGTTTTAAATTCAATATATCTATTAGGTTCTCCAGAAAAATAAAATCCATAAGAAAATTAACGGAAACACAGAGATAAAGACAGAGAGATATAATTTATCAAAAAGAATTGGCTCACATGATTATGGAGGCTTGGAAGCTTTGATGTCTTAAGATCTGCAGTTGGCAAGCTGGAGACCTAGGAGCACTGATACGTAGCTCCTGATTCCTGTCCAAGTCTGAAGGCCTGAGAATTAGGAAAGCTGATGGCATAAATCCCAATCTGTGTATGACTCTGAGGACAGAATATTAATACCCCGGCTGAAGACAGTCAGGAAGATTTCCCCATGCTGTTCTCCTGATAATCTCACAGAATCTGATGGTTTTATAAGATTCTGGCATTGCCCCTGCTCCCAGTCACTGTGTTCTGCCACCCTGTGACAAAGATGCCTGCTTTTCCTTTGCCTTCCACCATGATTCTACGTTTCCTGAGGCCTCCCCAGCAATGGGGAACTGTGAGTCAAACCTCGTTTCTTTATAAATTACCCAGTCTTGGGTATTTCTTCACAGCAGCATGAGAAGGGACTAATACACTCATCTGAGCCTTGAGTCATTGATAAATGAGTTAGAGAAGAAAGGCGCATAAACCAGTAGAATTTAATTCCTGTGCAAGTGAAATTTCCTTGAAAAGAGAGTCAAAATATCATGTCCAGATGAAAGCTGGTACACTCTCTACCACTCTTCCTATCAAGATGTGAGGTTTATTGTTCTTTCAATTGAATGTGGACTGGCTCTGTGACTTTTTCACCAAAGAAAAACCACAACTCACAAACTAATCCAGTTTGCTAATGCTACTGGCAACCTCTGATCCATCTTTCTCAGCATGCATGCTTTGGGAAAAGTCAGCTTCAATGTGAAGGATTGGAATACACTAGACTACCATGCTGTGAGGAAACCTAAGCTAGCCACATGGAGAAGCCACATGAAGGGGACACATGGAGAGGGAGAGAAAGGGGGAGAGAAAAGGAGAGAGAGATAAGGGGTGGAGAGAGAAAGAGAGAGAGAGAGAGAGAAAGAGAGAGAGAGAAAGAGACCCTTAAACCCAGACGTTCCAGGCTTCCAATCTGAGTTTCTAGGCATATATGTAAAGAACACATCTTGCCTATTCACTCAATCAAGCTTAGACATGGCTCTAGTCCTATTTGTCTTCTACCTGCAACCACACGAGAAACCAAAAGCATGAATTATCCACTTCAGACAATTAACTATCAGAAATACGAGAGATGAGGACAATTTTTTGCTTTGAGAGGTTGTCTGTTACATAAGGTTTCGGAGTGATTTGTTACACAGAAATAGTTAAATCAGAAAAAAAATTAATTTGTGAGAGTGAATTGCTGCTGTGAATTTTTTCCTTAATGAAGACATGTGAGATTGGCTTGGGGACGGACAGCAGGCCTCTTTGAAAGGCCTTAGAAAGACTGTTCATAAATGGCAGGTAGCAATTTGTTAGGAGGCTACTTATAAAAATATGCTAATTAGTGACAAAAATTGGTCATACCCTCATGTGTGCTAAAGTGGAAGTAAAATACTGTGGACCTCGCTAAGTAGATTTCCAGGTAGAACTTTATAAAACCCATCTGGTTTCTCATAGCTCTGCTTAATAATGTGACACGTAAGGAAAAAAACTAAATAAGAAAATGCTCTATTTCAAAGTAGAAGATAGAGAAAATTGTTTCTGAGGCAGGATTTGTTGTGTTAAAAAAATGAAATGTTTTCTAATCTCCAATCTCTCCCAGGAAAATACTCTTACAATAAAAAAATTGTCTTCAGGGAAACCAATGAATTCAGGACACTGGTCACATTTAGAATGACACTCAGATTTTCAGTTAAACCATTAGAAACATGTAATGCAATGGTTCATAAATCCTCTCTGCTAGACAAGCAGTCCTGTAAGATTCTCAAGGATATTGTCCTATGACACTGACTTGGGTGACTTGTCTAATGAAGTGAGTTATAATTTGAAGTCCAAAAATTTTAAAAGTAATTTTACCTATTTTGACTAATTTATGTGTAAATTAAGTGCATCATCTTTTATGGGTACCGTTCGTGGTGCCCTAAAACAATTACAATATTAGCATCAATTTTGTTATGGGTGGCAGCAGTCTATGAAATCTACTCAGTTTGAAAGAAAGATAAAAAAGAAAAGAGAAAGGGAGAAGAAGGGAGGGAGGGAGACAAGGAAGGAGGACCATTTAATATGCAAAAGAATATGATTTCAAAAACAGAGCTTAGCAGGTGGAGTAAAGAGTTGCATAGAACCACACTCACAGAGCAGGGCTGGGCTCTAATCAATGAACAAGTGACAAGAGACTGACTGCATTTTAGAATTGCTCTGGACCTGTGACTTCTGCATGCTTTGCTGTTTCTCCTTACTTTGAAATGAGTCATCTTCTGCAGGTTCTCAGGCCTCTTCCCATTCTATGTCAGGACAGATGGGTTGCTCCTTTAGTCTGCATCTTTACATAAAAAGAAATAACAGAAATAACATGAAAAAAAAATAATACTTAAAAATCCAAATACAAGGAGCCTTATTTTCACATGGAGCTGGTTTAAATGACAAGATTGTGAACCAAAAACTGAAATTGATTTCATTATGGGATAAAATGTTGGGAATTTTAGGAGGAGGTTAATATGTTTTGCATTTGCAAGAAATGCAAATAATATGTGCCCAGAGGGTATGTTAAAGATGGCCAGCCTCCACCAAAAGCTGACTTTGGCTCAGACCTGTGATTACTCTATATCTAGCAGAATGTATCCGAGCCTTGCTGTGTCAGTTTCAGTTCTAGTATTTGAGTGGAACGGCGGGCAGGCATAGGGCCTCATGCATCTAATCCCAGCACTTTGGGAGGCTGAGGATCACTTGAGCAACATAGCGAGAACTTATCTCTAAAAAAATTGAAAACAACAGAATAAAGAGTAAGAGGAACTTCTGCTTCCTAATATCTAGAAACCCAGGGGAGAGACCCAACTGCCAAGTTTAAAGTCCAGTTAACCTGAGAGTAGCTCACTGCAGAAGAGCTCAAGATTGTCATATGGAATGGCCTCATAGAGGAAGAGAGAGAGAACCCGATTATTCCACTCCTTATATTGAAATTAGTTTCTTACTGCTGCTGTAACAAATTACTGCAAATTTGGTGGCTTAAAGCAACATAATTTATTGTCTTATAATTGTGGAGATCAGAAGTAAAAATTTATAACTGTGGGCTAAAGTGAAGGTGTCAGTAGGTCTGACCATTATGGAGACTTTGGAAGGAAGATCGCTTTCTCTGTCTTTTCTGGAATCTAGAGGTCACCTGCATTTCTTAGCTTCTTAGGCCACTTCCCAGTAATGACATCTCTTCAACCTCTGCTGCTTGGTCATACCTTTCTTTTCCCCTCTGTCTTGCCCCTCTCCTTTAAGGACCCTTGTGATTATATGAGTCCACCTAGATAGTCAAGGATATTCTTCTTTATTTTAAGATTTTTTTAATAATTACATGTGCCAAGTCTCTTTTGCGAAATATTCACAAGTTACAGGGATTATCAGGTATGCACACTTACTTTGGTGTAAAAAGGGCACTATACTACCACACCATCTGAAGTATCAGGACATATATGTTGGTGTGTAAGCTCTTTTGGCTCATCCAGCCAATTTGAGCCTTCAAAAGACTGCACCTTTAGCTACCATCTGATAGCAAATACATTACAGATTACACACAAGGACTGTTGAACTGAGTACAATCTACAGAAATATAGAAGTTAACATTAAATTGGTATTTTAAGCCTTAGCTTATGGTTGTTACACAGCAATAAATAACTATAATTCTATAATTGATAAGACTAGGATTTTCTAATCATGTATCCAGGAAAACAAATGTGGTTTCATACTGGGTTAAGGCATGTTGGTTTGTGAATAAAGAGGAGTGCTTCCGTGGGATTCCAGATACTGGTACTTCATGCAGTCATTCCCAGTCACTGTGATAAAGGTTGCAAGATTCCATGAGTCTATCTGTGGATGTGGGGCAAAAGAAATTCATACACGAATTCATACACAAAAGAACTTCATACACAAATTGCTCACATGTTTTCCAAGGAATTTGTTGTTATTTCAATAATGAAACACTATTAATGCATAAATAATGAATAAATTATTTTAAAACAGTGTCACTGTTACCTAAATGAACAGTTTAGAGTGTCTTCCTTGCTGATATTTAATTGGTTTTGTGGAGTGAGTTTGCATCAAATATGCAGATTGTGCCAAATATGAAACGCTGTGAATTCCCCAACATACTTGTAATTGTTGTTCAATATCTATTTTGTTTTACTTTTTATAATAGTTGAATGTTGCTCATATACCTAAGAACGGACTACGTTTTCCATCCTCCCTCATAGTATGTGGTAAAAGTTGAGTTGGTACATGCCACCTCTGTATCTTGATTGTAGCATATGGGTGTTCTTCTTTCCTTCTGTTTTCTTTTTGTGCATGCATATAGATACAGATATGGAAGACTGCATCCACGTGAATAGGAGACTATTTGGTAAAGAGATGAAAAGATCTTGAGACTCTAATGGTCTTTGTGAAATTGAGGTAATCCTCCAAATAGAGACACTAACTTACAGATTATGAAGTAAAAGGGAAAAGAGCAATAACAATGACAAGAACCATCAATCTTATTTAAGCCATTACATTTTATAATTTTTTGTTGTTGTTGGAGTAAAAGCTAAGTCAGATAAAACCATAGTAGTTAAGATAAAAGCTATATTTACACTAACTATATAAACCTGGAGGAAGCTTTATTCTCACCAATGTATAATCCTGGGGAAATAAAAGTAAGACTTTCATTACAAGAAATAGCTACTGCATAAATCTCGTATGATAGCCTTGGTTAGCTAGTAACCAAAAACAGCAATAAGATGAAACTGCATAAAGCAGACAATACTTATTCCTCCAGATGTAGTGATTGTGATTGTATTAGTTCTGTATTGCTGTGTACTCTAAAATGTAGCATCTTAAATGACAAACATTTCTTATCTCTCCATTTCTGCGTGTCAAAAATCAAGGCATAGCTTAGTTGTGTGTTTCTGAATTAAATTTTTTTATGAGATTGTAGTAAGCTGTTGACTAGCAAGCTCTTGACCAGCAATCATGCATCTCAAGACTTGACTAGGCCTGTAGGATTCACTTCTACTCTCACTCTTGGCTGGGTTTGTTTCTCCTAGGCTTTTGGGCTAAGGCATCACTGTCTCACAAGGGCTTTGCATAGGACCATTCACAGAAATGTGGTGTCTTGCGTCTCCCAACACTAGACGTAAAAGAAAGGAGAAACCACAGTACTGAATCTAACGTCCTCACAGATATGACTTCAAAAGTGAAGTGTCATCACTTTGCTGTACTTTTTATAAGCCAATGAAAAAGTTTGTCCCATCTGCCACAGGAGAAGTTTCTGTAGGGGAATCAATACTAGAAGACTGGGATCATAGGTGGCCATCTTGGAGATTGCCTTTTGCCAACCATAGAAAACAAAGTTTAGCAAACTCAAGGAAAATGTGTTTCAGATAGAGCTTGCTGACAGCTTCTTTTTCATCTCTTTTGCAAAGACAGCTAGGGCAATCTGATTTTTCACCAGAAAGAATGATGCATATTTTGTCAGAGCAGCCAGAAATACGCTTATTCTTTCTTGTTATTTTCTCAAATAATAAAGAATTTTCTAAACTAGTCAAAAATTTCTGTAGAGATGTTCATCATCTGTGTGGTTATCTATTATGCTGATAATAAGGTAGTAAGGAGGACAGTGGCAGGAAAGCGTTTTAATTTGGTAAAAGTATCAAAACATGTTATGAGTGTGTCAGATTGTTCTGATCAAAATACAAGAAAATATATATATGGACCATTTCACGAATTACCTTGCTATATCTACCTTGGACTGGAGCTGATAGGCCACTTAGGGATAGTCTAGCAAGGTAAACCATAAATTGCTGAT